ACCTGACAACAGAATTGTAGTTGCTGTTTGTTGTGTAGTTGGCAGTGGTGGCGCAGTTTGGGTAGATACAACACAGAGTGATCATTAGATCCAAAACACAGGCGCCCAAGCTGTCTTCACCTGACGGTTACAGACTTGGAGACACGCCTTCACAATACTGCACAAAACCCATGCAGTAGAATAGAGTCAGTTCTTGCATACAAATCCCAACACACACTTCGGCCAGTTCTGTTCCTGTCCCCCCCTATGTCGCTTCTCCCCCCCTGCCAGTTCGCCGAACATCAGTCGTTTCGGGAGTCGCCCGTCCGGCTGCCTTGCCAATGCTCCCGCGAACAGTAGGCGTCGTTGTCGGATCGTGGCTTCAACGCTCTGACATTCAACCCATGGAAGAAGTCCAATTTGTGTGCCAATGCAAAGTCTACAGCACAAATATTATTGGTGATTTTGGTTGCGGGCCAACACACTATACATGTGATGAATACCTTGCGATTGTGTGTTACCTCCTTACAGTAAGCCGTTCATTCCTTCAGTGCCATCGAACGGGGGGAAGACATGCTTGTCCGTCCGTAATCATGCGTATCTTATTCGTGTGTCTCGCTTTTGACGCATGAAAAAAAGCTGAAAACTTCATGGAAAAATCGAAAAATATTCTCCAGACTACTGCGGTACCGTATTCTGACACAAGATAAACACCCCCTGGATCGATTTTCAAAGCTCGCTTACTTCACGACGAATAGGATGCATAAACGAAACCATACATTTTCGAAAAGATCTTGACAAGACGGTTTCAACGCCGCCGTTTTTGGCGCTGTGGCTGTTCCTGCAGTTGGGAAATCGAGCTTCGAAAATTGGTCCAGGGGGTGGGTTATCTTGTGTCATACACGAATCTCATTTGTTCTCATCATGTCTGGCGACCCCCCCCAGCGCACAGGGCCCGGCGCACGCAGGCGGCCGCCGTGACACTCATCTTTATACCCCGCAAGGAAGCCCGCAGCAGGAGTTTGTTACAACTCGCCCCAACGCCAGCCGCTAGCCACCAAGTTCATCTTTCTCGGTAAGCCTTTACCAACTACAGGTCCCCCTCAGAGCAGACGCCGTCGTGTACCGGGTGTCACGAGTTAACTTCACCCAAGTGCACGTCATCATCACGAGTTGTCAGATTTTTTTGTCCGCCTTTTCGCTACCACAGCTCGAACGAGGCAACGTGGTTGCTCTTGCTGCTGCTACAAGGACAAAAACAACCGCCACCCGACTGAATATGCACCGAGACAGCAAAGAAGCAGGCCGCTTGTGATGGTCGACGACTCTCGATTAACAATCAATGACGCTGTCTGTGTGCCACAGCAACCGAGCACTCCTTCATATCATGAAATTCTGTGCAGGCACCATCACATCTGTTGAGAAATAGACTTGTAGGTTGTGAAGACGCTTGTGATGCACGCGCACAGGGAAAAAGTTCACGTGGAAACACGCACCCTAGCCAGCGGACGCTGATGCTCGCCATGCGTATGGCTCAACCAGGGCTGGCAGGCTGATCGCGTAAGATTCCATCCAAATCGAAGCGTGGAGCATTCATTTGTGCGGGTGTGTACAGTCTACAATATCTGCTGCGGAGCAGATTGATTATTGGCGTTTGGGCAGGGCAGTCCATCCGCCTGTGGACTTTGGCGGCACCTGCCGTGTGCGGCGCTTTTGTGTTTCTTCGGCAATGAACAAATTGTCTGTGCCTGTTGATGAAGATCCAGGGCTGCTAGCCATATATTCACGGCGTGTTCAAGACCAGCAGACCTCTTGTACCTGTGGCTCTACCTACGGATGCTCACCTTACAGTCGGTGAGCTCGCTCGAGCTAACCTGGGACGAGGAGAAAAACAATTCCGAAGAAAAGGCCATTAGTTCTTTTGTTCGGTCGTGTCTCGAATATATTGCATGCCGTTACACATTCCACACACTCGCCCCCCCCAACTGACCGGTGCAATCGGACGGTCCTTCAACCCGCGTGTGATGTGAGCTTTCGTCTACTTACACTGCTGCGATTCCGATAGGAACATTAGGGACATATTGCGTTTGATACTAATGTACATGTTACCGCGCCGCTGGCGCTCGGCCTAGTAGTTGCATGTACATTGTACTGCTGTACTGAACCATTGTTATCACTGCCGGCAACCCTGCATTGTACAGCAGCAGCAGCAGCAGCACGCAAAACCGTATTGCTCTCTCGGTGGAGAAAATGATGACTGAACCACAAGGGACATCTTGTGGCTCAAAAACTACCCGCGAGAGTACTCGGTGAAACTAATGTTTGCATGTGATCCCTCCTTGAGTGGGGCTCATGAGAGCACAGCAATGCCATCACACCTACAACTGCCGGCTGCCAGGAGACGTTTCCCAAAGTTCAACAACTCACGTATCTCTTTTCATAGAGATGGATTGGTTGGGTCAAATAAGAAAAAAAAATACTGGTAGCGCAGCGAACCTCAACAAACCACATTTGCCTAGACTGCAGTTGTACAAACAATCTTACATACCGCGGAACATTTTTGCGCGATGACTTCGCTGTCGTTTCTGGAGCACCCCAAATGTTCCCGAAAACCGTGACCACTCTGCCAAAGCAAGGACATGCCGACCCGAGGATGGAGAAAGGCGGGAAAGCTCACTGATTAACGTGGTCCGTTGCGATCGATGATGAGTATGTTCGGTTGTATCCATGTGAATGCTCACGGTTTGGGCTGCAACACGGGGCGGCGATTCTCTTCACCTGTGAACAGACCATCGCTCATTGTTATCATCGCCCTTGCTTGGCGTTTCTCCTTGCTCTTGTCGAACCCATTCGGTCTCTGCACAGTACCCAACATCCAAAGAGAGCAAAGATAAGGATCCCAGAGAAATATGCAAATGTCGACGTAACAGAGTACGAAACAAGCCGAAAGGAAAAAGAGTGGCCCTAGCCAGACAACAGTCGGAAGTCGTCATTGGTAACGTATCGGGCAAAGGAGAGACGTATCAACAATTGTATGGAGGGTCCCTAGTTCCAGCTGGGCACGTGATGCCAAACAAAGTGAAGCAGTTTACGCGAGTCCATCTTTGACTCAATCCTTCCTGGCGCATCCGACGACCCTTTGATGCACCTACGTCGTGGGTGACATCGAGCAGTTTGCCCAACGTTGGTTTGATGCAATCTGCCCCGCGTTTTCTGTTTCCTATCCTCACAACCAACCGCTGTCCTCCTCTCAGCAGCTTTGTCGACAGTGCCTGGCTGAAGCGGGGCGTTTCTGCCTGGATAAATATCTACACCGGCATGTGGTGAGGCAGACACACATTCGTACCAACACGGGATAGGACAACGAACCGCACACCACTTCATGAAAGCACCCGAAAGCACAAGTCCTGGGATCAAGTCTCTGCGAACTCGCAGTACACACCGGCAGGACTGAAAAGCTTTGTGAATTGCACTGTGGGAGGATATTGCAGCCACAAGCGCCTTCCGTTTTCAGGATACATTCATGAGCCTGGTGGTCGCCTATAAGTTTTCTACCGTTCACGGATCTCGCGCACCGAAGAGTCGACTTGGCCCCGTCGGAGGATTGCAGTGGGAGTGTCGAGGTTTAAGGGACCGATGCAGATCCTGTATGCCCCCGGATATTTATGTTCTCGAGGCGTCGAGGCCGTATCAATATTTGAGCTTGCAATTACGGTCGTCGTTCGTTCAAGGTCAATGTTTTTGCCACGTGTGACTTACCGTGTACGCTGCTAGGAAACCAGACGAGGTCGTGCCGCAACACAAGCGCAGAGCGGTGGCACTCTGGACGATCCTCATCGGGAGCATCATTTTTTGTGAGCATTTTGCGCCCGCGGGCGCAACGCTTGCCATTTGTGCAGCCGAAAATGTCGTCGCATGTGTTTGTCAGCACGTGAGACCAGCTGCAAGTGCGATGTGGGCTCGTATGGTTCATGTTGGAACTCTCTAGCTGGTGTCTGCAGTCTGCACCGTCCTGTTGGTGGTAACAAGCTGTACGTGTTTACGGCGCCATCTGAACTTATAGTTTCGGTGAAGGACAAACAATCGGCCCTGGGTGGGGTCTGTAGGCGTTGTGGCCTGCGACCGGAAGGACTCAATACTTCCAACTTCACCGAGAGAGACAGTGCTGCGTCCTTGCCAACGAGGGTGTCCCACACCATCCCTATCCTCGAGCACAATCGCTTACATTACAGCATCGTGTATAGAGGTGCATCCCCGCAACGGGCTGAGATACAATGCCGATCGGGTGATGGATATGGTCTTGATCAAGCCACCCTATGCTCCAACATGCGACCGTTCTCACCGCCGAAAATCGTTCTTTGTCGCTACTGCTGCATCCCGCACCACGAATTGGCGTCTTGTGCTCTGTCGCAGATTCTTCGTATCTGTTGTACAAGGCCGTTCGCAAGCGCGATAACCCCGATGCGTCCATCGAGCTATCGGTACGAGGTGGCTTTTGGATGTTTGACTCTGTTCCATGCACAGCAATTGCTCATTCATGCTTGTCGACCAAGCGTTTGCTAAGTACTCGCATGAGGTGGGCCAGACGAGTTCGTGATCGCCAGAGTGAACACCTCGTTGTCGAACTAATGCAGCGGTCTAGGTAGACAGCGGACACAAAAGTCACGCCGATTGAGACACGAATATAACGGGTTCAAGTTCGCCGGATCGAAGTGCAGATTTGCGTTTCGGTTCCAACACGGAACACCTCGCGACGGAAGTGGGTGTGGACGAAGGAACAAAACCAAACGGGGGAAATACAACGGAGGAATGGTCGCTTCATTTATGTTGCAATGGTGCAGTGGTCCGAACGAAACTTCCAAGACTTATCGTTCCAGATTCACTGTTGTACCGAAGCATTCATCATTAGTTCTCCTTATTCGAAGCCTTGCAGAGCGGCCCGAACCTGGCTGGCCGGAAGGCTCCTAAGTCGTTGCCACAGAAGAGGCGTATCGTCCTCAGTAGATGAGAAGAGACTGTTCGCGCTGTGTGGGGGAAGGAGAGACAGCGAACGCATCACCGCAGTCACCACTGGGGAAACAGACGACAAGCAGTAAATTCACCGAGAAACCTCATGTATGGGCCAGAAAGGACGTCTTCCCGTCGACCAGAAATGAGAAACGAATGCATACACCTGAAGTCTCGATGACGCGGTTCCGCGGCTCGGGAATCAACTCCACGCGCCTTAAACTTCAGGCGAACGAATGAGCCGTAGCCAACTCTTTCGTGGATCAGGCACGTGACTGTGCGGAACGTTTTTGCCCAAGTTTCCATAGAAGCGAGGCACTCCAGTATTCGCTTGGTGAGTGAATGAGTTGCCTTATTCCTTTTAGGTTGTACTTGCCGTATGTGTTCTGCTCGATTTATATTTGATGCAACGGCTCTGGTGGTCCTCTCCTCCCGCAGAACACCGTATTCGAGTACCCGGATATTTGGGTGTGCCTCTACGCCGACTATGGCTGCGACGAGCAGGAATTGGAGGAGGAGTGCATGACAAGTGCAACCGCCAACATGACAGGATGGGGCAATTCGAGTGCCGTGTACTACCCAGGCGGGGAGTACGAGCAAGAGATTCACGTGGAGGGAAGGGAGACCCCCAAAGTGAGCGTAGACACATGTACCGTCGGTTGCACGAGATATCACAACCCCTGGACCGATTGTCAAAGCTCGATTACTTGGCAGGGAGGCAGTGGCGGTCCCGGAAATGGCGGCATTCGAACTGTGTCATCGAGAGCTTTCCGAAAATGTACGTTCATTTGATTGGGGTATCCTCTTTGTCGTGGAACAGAAGAGGTCTGAAATTGAACCCTAACCCTAATTCATTTAGCGCCAGCCCTAATCCTGAGGGAGGTGGTATCTTACGCAACCTACCGTACCGCAGCCTTGTTGATGTTCCCCCCGGGTGTGAACAGGCTGGGCTACCTATTCAAGCGTGAGAGAACCCTCCATGGAGCGTATGTGCGTGTTTATCAGATGGTGACTCTGGTGCGATTTGTTCGAGCGGTAAAATGTCCTTGACGTTGGCCTTATTTCCATCTTGGAACCCGGGCCGTACTCGTTAAGTTCTCGTTTGGTTCGCTGAACGTTCCACTCGTAGTTGAGTGCTCGGTAGCTTCGAAACACTTGCAGCTTTTCGTGTTTCGTTCTTGTCCAACGCTTTCGTAGAACCGTGTCCGATGAAGCGCGGGCGTCGGGTGACACACTCTCGTTTTGTCGTGTACTCCCAAGCGTTACCGTATAAGCAAGACCGATGTTAACTCTCGAAGTGTGTTTTGTACGGTTCGCGTGTGAACCAAGGAGCTTTCTTGTGGGCGATTTCTGCCCTGCTGTTCTTTCCTTGGGTGAAAATGTTGTCACGTCGAACTGATATCACACTTCATGGCCTTGCACGCACCTCACCCCGTAATGTCTGCAACCATCCCACAGAACGGCTGGTGCGTGGAGTTCCAGGCGTCGAAAGTTACCCGCTTTCTCGGGGAAGAGCGGAACGCGAGCTACTATCTAGATTATCTCCTCCTGGATGTGAGTAATCGCTTTGTCTTGATCAAATAGTTGAAACCTTTGATGCATCCTAACGACATCCATGCCCTAATCTAACAAGCGAGTGTCTAGACAACGGGCTTCGTATGGTCGTGCCGTTGGGTCTACTGATCGAAGTGACGGACATAGGGGTTGACAGGAATAGATTGCACGCTCTGTTTGTTGCCCACGCTCTACTCCCATCCAAACGTTGCTGACGTGAGGCGGCAGCAACCACTCGCTTCCCTCTGTTACTGACTGTTACTGACGACACCAATACCGTTTCCCGGCAGATGCACTGGTACCCGGGTGGCCTTGAAGCCGATTCTACCACTTGCGTCGTTGAGGGGTGGAAGACTCACAAGTGAGGTTCTCCTGGATGATGAGGGATGCGTTCCTCACATCCCTGACCATGAACGAATGCGGTGTCGAGCATTGGATGCGGATCGGTTGCGTCAATGCCCAATGTGTTGCTATGGTGGTTTCTCCAAAATCGTTTCGTCGGCTTTCCCGGCGTTCGGACGCTGTGAATTTTTGTAGGTGAATGGTCGTTTGCGCGGTACTCTGACTCTGGTTGGAGAAACGTTCGGTTCCGGGCGACGTGGAGTCGGGTTTGCCCAGCTCCCCATAGGTCCGAGGCCGGTACCACCTACCAGGTCAAACTTGGTCCCGCCCAGGGTGCATCATGGCCTGGTTCAAAAGTTGGTGGAACAAGTACGAGTGCCCGGTCGACGTCTTGTGAAACAAGGTGCTCATGGTCAGAAAAATGACGGTGTTGGCACAGGGCTCTGAGTAAACTGTAGTCAAGATGGTGTTTCCCCGCCACGCACAGCCTCCAGACCCACCGCCCTTGTTTGGGCTATGGCTCACACTCTCGTTGATGCGGCAAGTTTGCATCTCCTCAACGAGGTAAGGGTAACCGTTTCTCCTGTACGCCCTGTTTGTGTCGCGCACCACGCAGGCAATGGATGTACGTGTTTTTGAACGATCCAGTATTAAGCCAAGTCTCAACCGGGATCCAAGTCCCCTACAGCTGCATCACCAACGTCTCGAGCAGCCACTCCTTCACTTACGTGGTGCGTAGGAGCGCATATCGAACCCTACGTGTTTGCGTGGTTGCCGTCGTACATTTTTTTTGTTTTCTGTTCGCGTAGTTCTTCGTGACTGCATGATTGGATAGACAATTCAGAATGAATCCGCGAAAGTGTCGGAACACGACCCCAGCCTATCCCTATTGTCGTGAGACTGGGCGCCAAGGTTGAATATCCTCTCGATCAGCTGTAGATAGTTTTTCACATTTTCGGTTTGTTCCGTTGGGTCTTTTCTTGCGGTGGCCGTACAGCAAGAATGAGTGGATTTGTCCCCGTTTTTTCGGCATCAAAGCGGCTGTGGAGCTGTCATTGACGCTTGCTTCCGCCCCTCGCCTGTCTGGATACGTCGACACCTTCCCTCCTACACTCGCGTTTTCAACTCCATCCTGAGTAACTCATTTGGGGTGTCGATACCCCCCGTTTCCAGATCGCGGAGACCTCATTTCCCGACTATCACAAGTAACTGACCTCGGTATGTGTCCGGTGGGTTTGACAGGGAATTGGAGTTACCATCGAGGACAAGCTAGGCCAAGAACCCATCGTGAACAACAAGGCGCTATCGGTATCGACAGCGACGGTGAAGGATGAGGTAAAACGGAGGGGGGGGGGGTACTGGAACAGAGGTCGAACGGTATGTTAGCGTGATCACGACCGCAACTTGAATCGAAGCGATCGATTCCAGACAAGGTGGTGGCGCACCGAGCAAGAACTGCTACCGTAGAGTAGCCCTACCATTGGATCGCAACAACATGTAGGCAGGCGCCACTGGGGAGTTGACTTCCGACAGTGGCTCGAGAAGCGCGGCGAACAGCATTTACCTGGCACGGGACATGTGTCGAGACATTGTGGTGGAGAGCCACACATGGTCATCTGGCGCGCGTCGAACACATTTCGGAAAATCGAGTTGCCGTGTGGTCGACGAAGGTACTGGTAGTAGCGTCGACCCAGCTACACCAGCACTTGTAGTGGGACCCCTCAACATGTTTAACAGACACCGCCCTCTGCCAAACCGTTCTTCGTAAATAGGTGAACCCGGCCATTGTCAAGCCTTATGCCCAGCTGTCGCTGCAGTTCCAGCAGGAGCCCAACTCGCTTGAGGTTATCACCGAGGTCGACCCCCTCGACCTTGCCGAGATGTTCGGCAACGTCGGCGGCTTCTGGGGTAAGATAAACTAAGGGTGTCGAAGATGACACCTGCATCAAGGTGCCCAAAACCAAACGCTCCGCCACACCAAACTTCCCGACATGTTGACTGAGTCTTGGTTCAATCCTCTCTCCCTTCCCTCTTCTGCGAGAGCCCATACTTTCACGTTGCTTGATGCCACTGAGAGATTCTCGAGACCTGCAGGCGCCAACACGCCGACTACTATGCGTGCTTTCTTCCCCATGTGCTCGCTGTGGTTTTGCGCCGTACTTTCTTCAGACCTTCTCATGATCATTTGGCCCATCTTCTTTGTGGCGGCATCTAGGCAAGACCCACACCTCAAGCCTCGAAACTTCAAGAAGTCGGTCACAAAGGGGCTAGGTGGCCTCCGAATAGGTGACGGCAAGCATCCTGGGGCCAGAGATGATTTCAACGGCAGTCCCCAGGTCCAAGAGAGACCATACTGGGAACAAGAGGGAAAGAAGGTACAGTAACGTGTATTGCTGTTCTTGCTGGAGTTGCGTTGTCCCACGCACGCAATCCAGAGGACCCTTCTTGGGGTATATTGCGGACGTTTTCTCGCCATTCGTGACTCGAGTCGCCGAGGAGCCAACCGTTTCACCTAACGTCTCCTTCGCTGCAAACCGTAACTTGCTATGGCTTGGGTGACCTCGATTCTACTGTAGGCCACGGCATCCTGACATCCTGACACATGCGACCCAAACCCACTCATCTGGCACAGTTTTGCAGCGATGTGCACAGACTCACGCCAGCATCATTACGTTCGCTTCGACCTCGCTTCGACCTCGCTTTGAGCCTGGTGTGCGAAAGAATTTTGTCGAGCTTCTCTCTGGTCGATGACGCATCGACGGACCGAGCGTGTTCTACGTGTCATGTTTTTGAAATGATGAGTCGTGATCGCCTTGGTCGGTGGATCATTGCCAAACGTTGCATCTTTTCTGTTCTCGGATTTGCTGTCGCTCGAAAACGTTTTGTCAAGGAGGTGGTGGAGGTGCCTTATCCTGCTGAGAAAAAGAAAATCCCCTTCCCGCCGGTGTGAGCAGCACCAGCTTGGGCCGCCATGACTCCAGACGGCAACACCAAAACGGGAACGAAGCGACATGCAGTGCGTTTTTGCCCCGAGCGATCGTTATCAGCGAATGTAGCCGGCTATCTCGTGCGGCGGGATTAACAATATCCATGCCGTTGCGCACATAAGTTGCCATTCCTTTCCCGCGCGAGTTTCAATTTTAGTTTTATATATGTGTATGTGCACGAGATATTGTATTACTTATGGTACTTTGAATTGTTAACTTAATGTGGTTCAAGTGTGTGTGTCCAGGTTGGCCCTACGGCCCACCTAAGCACGCGTCGTACATGGTTCCAGGCATGGTTTACGATACGGTGTCGGGAGTGCTGAGGGGGGAGGGCTTGGCCCTTGTGGTTGAAGGTGGCAAGGAAGTAGGAACAGGGGGTGGCAGTGTCGGGGGTCTGGGGGAACATGGGCTTGAATGGGGGTTGCCTCAGAAAGAGCAAGACGGCGGATGTTTCTCTCTTGGTGTGACCGGTGGCAATATCGATCAGCAATGCCGCACAGACTTTTGCGCGCCGAAATATGCGTGCGACAGCTTTAACCTAACCACTTCGGTGGAAAGCGGATTTCTGTTCAATACGGTGTCAGGGGTACCAGGGAAGACGGGGCCGAGTTTTGTTTGATTTCGGGTGGATGAGGTTGGGGTTCTGTTCGTTTATCTCCATCTAAGGTTCGTGCCTAGAGTTCAGCTGTAGTTTCGACAAAAGTTTTGTTGACTTAGAGGCAAACATTCCTAGCTATTGGGCATCGAGTTAATTTGGCTTGGCATGACGGCCTTTACGATCGACTTTTTATGTATCTGCATGTATCTGCAATTGTCGGAGGGCAAACAAAATAATAATAATAATAGACTCGCTTGCATGGGTTGTACACAACAGCCCCGTTTGTGCCGTTCCGGTACCCACCATGACTTTTGATTGTTCGGGATTCGTGAACCATCGCGCAGCGACGCAGTCTTGGCATGGCTTCCTCTAGATTTGTACAACATACATCGTCGTCCTTTTAGTACGGGGAGTTTCCGTTTCTTGGGGCATGGTAGATTGCTTTTCGTGCTTTGGCACGGTTTATCATTTGTGGGCTATCGCGAGTTCCTTCCATATATTTTGTGTGTTTCTCAATAGCTCTTGATGGTTTGAGCGGCACTTGAACCACTGTGACTTTTCGTTTGCGCATCAGCTTCGATGCCTGGGGAAGCAAAGCGTCCACGGAACGCCCCCCGAGTGTCCGGCGAAAAGATGGATCTATGACATGTGGTGATAGTCGCGGTCGGTAGTGGTGGCTGGTGGCGGAGAGTGCTGCAGAAAAATACGAGGGTGGGTGGTGTTGTTGGAGTACAAACTTTCGCAGGGGAGGGTAAAGATTCACGCAGCACCATAAATCGTGTGCGTTGCAGGTTCTGCTACACTGCATGTAGCCGAGCCCCTTATTTGTGGCAGCTTCCACGAGCTTGCAAACACGGGTTCCCCGGCGTCCAAGGAAGCATTGGAAAGCTACCATGAAACGTGGCGGACGCTTCTGATATCAAAGCCGTAGAGGGTTCCGTGCCTACCATGACCGTGCTTCCATGGGGTTTGTGAGCAATACGCATGGAAGTGCTTCCCGAGCTGCCATCACTACCATGGAACCGGTGGAAGTCGAATGACCTGCACGGTGGCATTTCAATCCTCCAGAAATCATCACTGCCATGATACTTGTTACACAGGTGGCCAGTGGGCACGGTGACGGGGGGGTTGAAGTGACCTGTAAACCCTAGGCGTTGTGCAACCTGCGTAACCCGGTCGGACGCACCGTTGCCAACCTTCAAGGTCAGGCAGGGTTCCGAAACGCCTGCTCAAATCCAGTTATGGGACATTTGCATCTGTGCTTGGTTGCTGTGCTTGGTTGCAGGCGAGGTTTTCCAAGCCTGTCCATGCCTTCCCGCGAAAGCTATGTACCAGCCGGTGTCCACAGAGTACACGACACACCGATTTATCGGACATTCGCGGCAAAAAAAAAAAGCTTCAAGAGTGCTGGCATTTGTATGCCCGATTTTTTTATAGTTGACTACCGCGTTAGACGCGCAAGAATAAATACAACCAGTACACCCGCCCCATCTCCGCACCATCAGTACTTTTGCAAAGGAACCTCCTCCTCGCCGCTGATCTGCAAGTAACTGCCCACCGGTCACCCCGCGAGTAGCCCCTCACCCCTTCGTGAGTGCTGATATTATCATGCAGCTGTTCCGTTTTGGGGGCTCTACTGTTCTTACACCACAAAGAAAGGCGGGTTCGTTCTTGTTCTGAACACCACGTCGGGCCTGAGCACGCACGTGTGTTGCTATAATTATTAGGTGGTCAATTTCTTTGTTTTTGTTTTTTTTTCGAGGCCGCATTTCTTAACTGCCAAGTTCTTAAGTGCTAGCGCCATCTTTACCTTCTGATCATGATGTAGTGCCGAAAGCAACATAGACATGGGCCTACTCTATTTGATATATATTTATTGTTGCGTAGAAACACCCACGGCAACGATCGGGGGGCAAAGCCAAGACTGAGAAAAAGAGGGAGAGTAGGCGATGATATACTATATACATACGCTGCCTCTCTCTGTAAAAGTCAATACGAAAACAAACACGTACGTACGTATGTACGTCTGTCTCCTTAATAATAAATAACAATCGTGGTCGAATATTCTTATAAGAATAGGCTGATGTGCCGAGGCTAAGTACTAGGTTGATTTGCCGGTGGCGAGTTCTGGGTTGAAGTGCCCACGCGCTATTGTTTAGGAGTACACTGGTTCCGGTTGGAAGCATTCATCGGCCGCCCACGGGATGCCCACGGGCTACCCATCCATATGGGTACCCCAGGGTGCCCCATGGGTGCCATGGGGCTGCCCATGAGTTGCTCGTGAGTGGTCCCATGAGAGACCCATGGGTGCCCCATTGGTGTCCCATGGGCGGTATAGCAAAACTGCCAGTAGTGTGGGAGCTTGGGGGGGGGCGCCGACCCCTCGTGCTGACACGAAAAAAGTGTCTACTGTGGGATCCATTACAGCTTGAGGCACTTTGGCTGCCCGCCTTTTTTTCGATGGGGCTTTCAATCGTTCACATCATTTGTCAATTCCGTGGTTGACATATGGCACCCCATTTGAACACAGGCACAGCGGGGGCACATGCTCACATACTGCCTTCGCGTTTCACTCAGCAACACGCAGCACACATGATGCGTGGGGCTTGTGGGACATAATGCAAAGCAAGCCGTCCGCCCTGTTCAAGGCTGTAGCCATGATCCGCAGACCCACTACAACCCAGAACAAGGGCCGGTCCATTGGAGCAGTGGCACAATGTATAGCTGCGACTCTACTGTTGTTGCGTAGTTGTGTGGCAAGGATGCGTTGTTGGTTACTTCACAATCTGATGGGGATACACGAAAACAGTATCATCGGGCGGATATATGGCGCGGAATATCGACATTTTTTTCCATAAAGCACCGAAACTATGGCAAGCCATGGGAGTCCTCAGATAATTTCATGGCGAATTCCTTGGCAAATCCCTCGGGTAATTTCACGGAGGATCTAGCCGTGCAACTTTACCGCCGCCACGGAGCTCTACGGAACACCATGGGCTGCCTTGGAATGCCGCGATGGAATTCCACAGCTTTCGACGGAACTTCATGGCACTCCATGGCACACAGTAATTTCCACCGTGGAATTCCATGGACCTACATGGCATTCTGTGGAATGTTCTGCGTAGTGCCGAGGATCTCCAAGGACCTCCATGACATTTCACCGAGTGTTGCATGGAATTCCATGGCATCGACAGACCAAATGAAGGGCACCGCTCAAATCTAGAGTGCAAGCCAGATTTGGTTCATCGTTTTTACCTTCCCACCGGCATGAGCAACTGCCAACAACGCCCCTCCACAGTAGCCGGAGGTTCCAGGTTGAGGGAGCACGAAATCAACCACAAACTCAAGGCTGAAGCTAACCCTGGCGATTTAAGTCTGATTAGACATCCGGGCAGATCGGTAACACAGAACAATTTTCTCAGGCCTAAATCGTCCTCGCCACCTCCCTCAGCAACACTTTATGGGTGGGTGAAAACAATGTATGTGCTATCTACCGCGACATGATGTTGTGTCCAGCAAGGTGTAGTTTGTCTATCAATCAATCAATCTGGGCGACGGTGAATAATGGCACATAACGGCACAACCTTTTCAGCACGCTAACCTCGTAAAATAACTCGGTTGACACGATCGTCGAAATTTTCAGGGGATAATATCTTCGAATTGGACTTGCCCAAATGTTGAACTAGCTTATTGTGGCTCCAGGGACCACGGTGGCACACACTACCAGCGAGATATTTCAGGTGGAGGCTCACTTTTCACTCGCTGAAAAAAATCACGCACGTCCTTGTCGTTCCCCGGCGTTGCCCTATACAGTGAACCATAATTCCTTGGTCATACAGCCCCCCTGCGGTACAGTGCTATTGCTTGCTTCCTTCTATCAAGCTCTTGACGAAATTTGCTTCAGCATTGGCGTTCTTCTGCAGAAGGCGGCAGCCGTCAGAGAAGCAAGGAGAGCGGGGAGGGAGGGTGACGGAGAGGCGAAGAGAGCGGATAATCGAGCCTCGGGCGTTGCTTAGTTTTTCTGCTTTCGTCTTGTTTTTAGGCAAAGTCCACGTGTAGTAGAGGATTGTAGGCATGCTTTGAGTTGGCTCGTCGTGAACCGTACGTAGTGGAATGCACGCACCTTGCTTGGGACAGTTCACGAATTGGAGCAGGACAAACGCTTGCCTCCACATGAGGGTGCACCTTTTGGTTGGAAAAATTGGATAATGCCGGTTTACTGTGGGTGAAGGATACTGCAAGCCAGCGTACGATCCAGACAACACTACTACTGGAGTACTGGCTGCCAGTATTGAGGTCAGCTGTCAGCACTCTACCTGTAAGCGACATGTCAAAAGATGGGACTTCACTACGTTAGTTGTTGAAACATCTTTTCCCACAAGGGTGGATCATTTCACTTTATCTCACCAGGAAAAGGACGTTTTGGTGGGAACAGTGTTTGGTGTTTGGGGTCTCGCCACATGCTCTGGGCAAGATCCACTTCATCGATCTCGTGAATATTACAGGCCAAAATAGGTGGACCCTCGAGGATGGGAAAAAATGAATCGCCCGACTGTATATCCGGGTTCCTGGAGTTCCTGTCCGGAGTGATGTATCTATGATGACCTTGGAAGCCATCCCTACCCGGTCATGTAGACTGTTGTTTGAGCATCCCTGTACTGCCGGAAACATTTGCGTTCACAGACAGCGTGTCTTTTTCTGTTGTCGGTAAAACATTGCGGTGTTGGGTATGAAATTTTAATTCCCACAAGACGACAACGACCCGGTCCTCCACTATCAACGGCAACCAGACTATGCATGTAGGTAAATGATCTGGCCAAAACATTACCAAGCCATGGCCTTGGGAAGAAAAAAATGTGAGGCAGATTGTACAAGACTTCATACCGCAGCAGAGATGGCTTGATCCAAACTGCATACGGACCAACGGGGCCGAGAGATGCCAGCTAAAGCATATTACGCACCTTGAACACCAGCGGGTCTCCCTCTGGATTTCTGAGCAAATTGGGTGACAGCACCACCGCCAGCCCCTTCGCATTCATTCGGTTGGTCTTCTCCTGGTCGGCGACTTTGCTGAAAAACCTCGCTAGGTAGTCAAGTGTTGCGCTGTAATGTTAAACAGGATCGACGCGATGTTAAAATCTTACATGAGGATTGAGGTGCGTGTGTTCGGTCGTCACGTGGGGCATCAAACCCACGGCATGAAGTGTTCAAGAAATGATTCTCACTATGAACGCTGTCAGCCCCACCTGAAAACCCTGGATCCAGCAATCAAATGTGTGCTGTGGCGTGCGTGCCCTTCTGGACCACCGCAAGAACCTCACGGATCACATCGAGTGTGAAAATGCTGTGGGGCCCGAACGAACAATGTTTGCTCGCTTGAAGAACGGTTCGGGCTGCATACATGTGGTTCGTGTAGGTTTTAACGGAACCGTGTGAATGGCGATTACCAGCTGTGGACCTACTTCTTGACGTCCCACCCGGGGTCACAAGGGCAGGGACTCAAAAGTACACTTTTTGAGCGTCAGTTAATCGACTTCCAAAAAACTTCTGTGGAAGCTCACATAACTGTCATCCCTTCCACTAAGCTTTTCATAGTGGGGTGAAAATCTGGCAGCGCTTCCGCCAGAATCCTCATGAACATTGACCCCTATGGGAGATATGGAAGCTTCCATCAACTCCACGGACATTCGTGGAGGAGTTACCACGAGGTTGAGACGAGCTTCCACCGAGCGGGGCTTCCAAAGTGTCCGTGGAAGCTTCTAGACTAGTCTACCATGAACCTACTGCGGCGGCCATTAATACCCCATCTCTAGATCCCTGCAATTCACCTGTTGGGCAGAGGAAGTGCCAACATCACCCTCATAGACTCCTCCTGCCTAGCCTCCTTTCCCTCGTCCACCAAGCCGGCTGCGACCGCCCTGTCGTAGCTCCCCGGAGGTACCAGCGGTTCTCTCATACTCCGAAGCCACATCTGGCGCAGCAAACAGCAGTTTGGGAGACGAGACCACCTGAAGGGCACAGACACTGCTGCTTCTTTGTCATAGTGTCTTTGGGACGCCATAACATCAGAACGAACGGCAGCTTCTGCATGAATTCCCATAACGACATAAGAAATCTGGATGTAGAAAACGCACCCGGCTAGCTTCCTTCCTAGGCTTTTTTGTAACGTACCATGTCATGAGGCCTCATGAGGTCTCATGAAGTGTCATGGAATTTCTCGCGAGATGGGTTATGGTACCTACCTCTTGAGACGGCTCGTGGAACGCCTCACGAGGTGTAGTGAGGCGGCTCATGGAACCTCACGGTACCGCCATGAGCGGTATCGTGAGGTGCCATGGGGTGTCACGAGGCCCCGTGAGCCGCCCAATGGCATCTCATGGCATCTCACAAGACATCGCATGAGATGTGGTGAGGCGACTCATGAGGTCTCATGAGGCGTCTCATTTTTGTTTCAAGTCATGCACATGACCCACGGGGAAAAACCAAAGTTGGCGTTAAAGAGAGGATCGTGAGTAGAAGGGGATAGGCTGTACAATCCATAGGCTCGAAATGATCTTTGATCTGGCGGTGACTGCTTGGCCGGGGTGCACGTGTGTTTTTCTGCCATCAGAGTGTTCTGTGGCGGAGTGTTAATAGGAATTCCTTAGTGCGGCAGAAGCGGAAGCTTCACCATCCAAGCTTCACCACCTTTTACGAGGCAGCACTAGAAATTCTCGGAAACAGCACCCCCGGGACGAACATCTGTGAAGGCAAGGATATCGAGAAGCCTGTTTCTACCAATATTCTCCCTGTCAGTAGCATACAGCCTATTTAATACCACGTAACTCTTGCGCGCGAATGGTAAGGGGTTGTTGACGCATCGAGTTGGCCTCAGGAAAACATAGCATCTGAAATTGCTATGATGTGTTTGGGGTGCTCGGCAGAGTATACTGTCTACGGGGCCTCCGGGGGGTACGCGGATGGAACGTATTGACCGACATGCTGCATGGCGATGGTGTGGCCTACCGCATGTCTCTTACTCTCTAAGCAACAAGGTCTTGAGTCAACCTTCTTTCTCTTTCGGCCTCTGACGAGCTACCGCACCCAAACACAATATATTGTAAGGCCTGGTGTTGGTAGTGGGTATTGGCGCCTGAGCGGTGGGAGCTGGGCCATCGGGGCAGCGGACACCATTTTCATAGCTGGGATCGCGGCCAAAGGGGGCGAGGACAGCAGTGTATAGCTGGTGCGGTGGCCGTTGCGGGGACCGGGACAGCAGGGTTTATAGCTGGGACAGCACTTCGAGGCTGGGACAGCAGGGAGGGTTTAGAGTTTTAGTTTGATATGTCTGGAACGGAGGAGGACGCAACTCTGAGCGCGAGGTTGGATGAGGCGCTACGAGCTATAGAGGAGGCCAAGGCTGAGACGAAGGAGGCCAAAGCTGAGACGGAGGAGCTTAGGGCAGCACAGCGGCGGTCTGCGGGTGCACCTGCCGGCAGCAGCTCAGGAGGCGACGGTCTAGTTGCTCCTGGAGGGGCTTCATCTGCACCGGTGAGGCCAATGTGGCCAGGCGGGGTGAGTCATGATGGCGGTACTGGGGTGCCGGG